CCTTATTGGCCTGGGCCTCTAGAAAATTACAATTTAAAAAATCCACGCCTTATTGGCCTGGGCCTCTAGAAAATTACAATTTAAAAAATCCACGCCTTATTGGCCTGGGCCTCTAGAAAATTACAATTTAAAAAATCCACGCCTTATTGGCCTGGGCCTCTAGAAAATTACAATTTAAAAAATCCACGCCTTATTGGCCTGGGCCTCTAGAAAATTACAATTTAAAAAATCCACGCCTTATTGGCCTGGGCCTCTAGAAAATTACAATTTAAAAAATCCACGCCTTATTGGCCTGGGCCTCTAGAAAATTACAATTTAAAAAATCCACGCCTTATTGGCCTGGGCCTCTAGAAAATTACAATTTAAAAAATCCACGCCTTATTGGCCTGGGCCTCTAGAAAATTACAATTTAAAAAATCCACGCCTTATTGGCCTGGGCCTCTAGAAAATTACAATTTAAAAAATCCACGCCTTATTGGCCTGGGCCTCTAGAAAATTACAATTTAAAAAATCCACGCCTTATTGGCCTGGGCCTCTAGAAAATTACAATTTAAAAAATCCACGCCTTATTGGCCTTGGCCTCTAGAAAATTACAATTTAAAAAATCCACGCCTTATTGGCCTGGGCCTCTAGAAAATTACAATTTAAAAAATCCACGCCTTATTGGCCTGGGCCTCTAGAAAATTACAATTTAAAAAATCCACGCCTTATTGGCCTGGGCCTCTAGAAAATTACAATTTAAAAAATCCACGCCTTATTGGCCTGGGCCTCTAGAAAATTACAATTTAAAAAATCCACGCCTTATTGGCCTGGGCCTCTAGAAAATTACAATTTAAAAAATCCACGCCTTATTGGCCTGGGCCTCTAGAAAATTACAATTTAAAAAATCCACGCCTTATTGGCCTGGGCCTCTAGAAAATTACAATTTAAAAAATCCACGCCTTATTGGCCTGGGCCTCTCGAAAATTACAATTTAAAAAATCCACGCCTTATTGGCCTGGGCCTCTAGAAAATTACAATTTAAAAAATCCACGCCTTATTGGCCTGGGCCTCTAGAAAATTACAATTTAAAAAATCCACGCCTTATTGGCCTGGGCCTCTAGAAAATTACAATTTAAAAAATCCACGCCTTATTGGCCTGGGCCTCTAGAAAATTACAATTTAAAAAATCCACGCCTTATTGGCCTGGGCCTCTAGAAAATTACAATTTAAAAAATCCACGCCTTATTGGCCTGGGCCTCTAGAAAATTACAATTTAAAAAATCCACGCCTTATTGGCCTGGGCCTCTAGAAAATTACAATTTAAAAAATCCACGCCTTATTGGCCTGGGCCTCTAGAAAATTACAATTTAAAAAATCCACGCCTTATTGGCCTGGGCCTCTAGAAAATTACAATTTAAAAAATCCACGCCTTATTGGCCTGGGCCTCTAGAAAATTACAATTTAAAAAATCCACGCCTTATTGGCCTGGGCCTCTAGAAAATTACAATTTAAAAAATCCACGCCTTATTGGCCTGGGCCTCTAGAAAATTACAATTTAAAAAATCCACGCCTTATTGGCCTGGGCCTCTAGAAAATTACAATTTAAAAAATCCACGCCTTATTGGCCTGGGCCTCTCGAAAATTACAATTTAAAAAATCCACGCCTTATTGGCCTGGGCCTCTAGAAAATTACAATTAAAAAAATCCACGCCTTATTGGCCTGGGCCTCTAGAAAATTACAATTTAAAAAATCCACGCCTTATTGGCCTGGGCCTCTAGAAAATTACAATTTAAAAAATCCACGCCTTATTGGCCTGGGCCTCTAGAAAATTACAATTAAAAAAATCCACGCCTTATTGGCCTGGGCCTCTAGAAAATTACAATTAAAAAAATCCACGCCTTATTGGCCTGGGCCTCTAGACTTTTTTTTAAATCCACGACTTATTGGCTTCTAAGCATAAAGTACAGATCTTCTCATGATAGTAATAAATCGACGATTTTTTTTTTTAATATTAAGAACACATTTTATTACAAACTTCAGGCTTATATTTATTTATGTTCAACATTTAAAGACATTCCAGGAAGTCGGAATGCCTCCAAATATCTTCAAAACATCAACAATTCTTTCCATCAACTCCTTATGTCTACTTTGGCAGTCCCTCCTTTTCAGCCCACTCGGTCCAGGAACCCAAATAATTTTTACAATTTTCAAAGCCCAGCTTCTTGGCAATTTCTGCAGCATTGTGGGAACGTCTACCGATTTTACAATGGAATATTATCTCAGTATTCTTAGAGGGAAAATCACGACCATATTTAGCTTTGAAAGCCTTAGCATCTACATTGCCAGCCAACACTTTTTCAACCTCACCCAGAGGTATGTTAATCGAGGTGGGAATTTGTCCTGTCTCTTGTAGTTCCTTGGGTTCTCGTACATCTATTAATAACTTTTCCGGTTGCTTGGGCAATTGTTTAATTTCTTCATAGCTAACAACGGGGATGTTACTGACGTTGGAGCAGAAATGCTTAGCAAATGCGGCCTGAAGTTGAGTGGTGCTGTAGGCTAATGGCTTGGTTTCGGCAATTTGAGAGACGGCACCATTACGCAAAGCGTTTAAATTTCTCAACAATACAAAGGTTCTGCTTAGCATTTTTTTAGGGAATTTTACTAAAAAACACGAAAATTAATTGTTTATTAGAATTATGCAATTAAAAACAACCGAAGAATCAACAACAACCTCTGCCTAGCAGCTTACCGGTAAACTGTTTATGCGGTAAATCAGCTGGTCTCATTGATAAGTTGTCGGCGGAAAACTACCCAAGTAGCATAGTGTTGATGGTGTATAAGAAGAAGCATCGCAAAGAGATTACTTCGAAAATTGGAGAAAGTACGAAGTGATAGCCACAAGGCGTACATTTTTAAAGATTACTTTCGTGGGACTGCGGCGAGGATTTTTAAGAATATTTTTTAAGGGACTATATAGAGAATTTGTTAAAATGATATTTTTCGAGAGGCCCATAAGGAGTGGATTTTTAAAATCATATTTTTCTAGAGGCCCATAAGACGTGGATTTTTAAAAACATATTTTTTCTTGAGGCCCATAAGGCATAGATTTTTAAAATCATATTTTTCTAGAGGCCCATAATGCATGGATTTTTATAATCATATTTTTCTAGAGCCCCATAAGGCATGGATTTTTAAAATCATATTTTTCTAGAGGCCAATAAGGCGTGGATTTTTAAAATCATATTTTTCTAGATGCCCATAAGGCATAGATTTTTAAAATCATATTTTTCTAGAGGCCAATAAGGCGTGGATTTTTAAAATCATATTTTTCTAGAGGCCCATAAGGCATGGATTTTTAAAAACATATTTTTTCTTGGGGCCCATAAGGCATAGATTTTTAAAATCATATTTTTCTAGAGGCCCATAAGGCGTGGATTTTTAAAATCATATTTTTCTAGAGGCCAATAAGGCGAGGATTTTTAAAATCATATTTTTCTAGAGGCCCATAAGGCATGGATTTTTAAAATCATATTTTTCTAGATGCCCATAAGGCATAGATTTTTAAAATCATATTTTTCTAGAGGCCCATAAGGCATGGATTTTTAAAATTATATTTGTCTAGAGCATATTTTAGACCTTGACCATTCCTTTATATACGTCGTTGAGACTTTCTTCAATTTTCTATCCTGAAAACTCCAATGATTTTTCTCCTGCCTCTTATAAAGAGTCTTTTATTCTGATATATGATTTACAATGAATCTTTGCATTCATATTAACACAACAAGTTATTATATTCTATATTTCAAAAAATATATATAGCTGAACATGCATTCTTCACAGTTCCATAACCTCCCCACCGACAGCTTCTTTTCCCTGAGCTTGACGTTCCAATTTATCCTTCGCCACACTTTCCAGCTGTTCTTTTGTCAGCAACGATATACCCAATTGATCTTCACGGGTAAATGGTTGTGCCATACGTTTCAACCAACGACGTGCCAATTGCATTGCCTCCTCCGTACTAAGATTGCAAAAACTATCCACTAGATGTTCTTGTATCCATTTGGGTAGACGACTACGTTTGTCTTGTCGTGAAAAACGTTTATCGGCAAATATCATAATACCATAATCGGTTTTGCCACGCAAAGCACGGCCAACACACTGGGCGGCGTGACGCATGGCATCGAAGGTGAGAAAATCATTTTCACGAATTTGAAATTGATCACGTAGATAATCAAGGCGGGCTTTTAAAATGCGCGATTGGGTAAAGACATAGGGTATACCGAACATGAGGACAGCACGGCCATAATGATGATCGAAATCGACACCCTCGGAAACTTTGCCACGGGCAACGGCAAGCAGCACAGCTCCTCGTCCGCAGTCACAGGCCTGAGGAAACGATGCAAAATATTTAAAAAAAAAGTAAATGATAATCGATCTTTCGAACTCACCTTAACATAATTCATAAGAGCATAACTGGTCTCGGCATTATCCTGAGTTTCAATGAATAACAATTTGTAACGTAACAGTGTGTCAACAATACCCTGATCATACCATGAGGCCACCACGGACTCTAAATACAAATAGGATGTAAAAAAGCATACAATGCCATCGGGCACTGTTTTAGCTGTTTCCACAAGCAATTGACCATAGTTCCGAATGACCGCAGTATCTTCTCGGGTTTCATATTTTGATGAGATTGCCACCTGATCATTACCCTTTGATACAATCATAGGTAATAGACAGGGACGCGCCAAAGTCATGGTAAATGAACTCATTACCACTGGATCGAAATTCAATATTTTCGGATACATATCCATGGGTGATAAGGTACCCGATGTTATTACCACTGATTGAAATCTTTGAAATACCGGTGCCATTGCTATCGATGAATCTAAACAACTAAAATGCAGTATGGGATTGGCAACGGTGGGAGTTTTATCATCAAATGGTTCGATGATAATGGTAAAACCTTTGGTATAGGTACTGACCAAGGTGGCAAAATGGGTGATCTAGAGAAAATAAATATTAGCTTTGAAGGGTTATTTTGGTATACGGAAAAGCTAAACCACCTACCAAAGTCAAAGCACCATATTCAGTCATATCGGTGATTTCCAAAGTCCTCAGCAAGCTGGCCAAACGTTCGGCACAAAAACGCAATGGTTTGCGTTCTATACAAATTTTGGAAGCCACATCTTTGAGGAAACCCGCCGGCGATTCTTGTATCACATGATGAACTTTTAATCGTGTCTTTATGTATTCAATAAAACGTCGCAGGAAGCTGAGAAAGTGATCGGCATTACGTATATTACCGGGAACAACCTCTGTGAAATAACAAAAGGAACATGTGAACTATTTAGTACGTTGTATGGGGTTCTAAAAAAGTACCTCCTTACCCTTGAGAATATCTGTGGGCAGAATTGGATTTGCCAAAATCATATCTGTGTCTCTCTGTACACTGGCATCTTTGAGACCCTGGACCATACGTTGATATTCATCATTGAGGCGTTCTGCATTGTCATCGCGAATGCTGGAAGAAAATAATAAAATATGGGTTTTATTATATGAGACCGACTATCGTTATTATAAGGGGTCATCCAACTCATTTGGGTCCCTCCCCAGCCTCTATAGGTAATATTTGTACAGATGGCTATGGGAAGCTGCACTGCTTCTACAAACAATGAGTTATAGACTGCGTGACATAAGGGTTGTTTCTATCGAACAAGTTGTTCTCGATCCTTTGACGAGTTTGACAGACTAGCTTTTAAACTCTTGCCTTCAATAATGGAAAAAATATTTTACAATAGATTTACTTACTCCTGCACCAATTTCTGTAGATTATTCAGTGCATTTGTGCACTGAGTTATAGACTGCGTGACATAAGGGTTGTTTCTATCGAACAAGTTGTTCCCGATCCTTTGACGAGTTTGACAGACTAGCTTTTAAACTCTTGCCTTCAATAATGGAAAAAAATATTTTACAATAGATTTACTTACTCCTGCACCAATTTCTGTAGATTATTCAGTGCATTTGTGCTTCGTTCAACAATACGCCGATTGATTTTCACGCTCATGGAATCAATGCAAACATTATCGATATTGTGGGCCTCATCAAAAACAATACAACTTTCACGGACCATTTCTTTGGACACCACTTCGGCAATTTTCGGATCCAGCAAATAATGGTAGCTGTAAACAACAATATGGGCTTGGCCAATCTAAAATAATAACACTTTTTTTAAATACATCTCTGAAATTTCCCAAAAAATATACCTACCGCATATCTAGCCAAAAAGTAGGGACACCAGTTGCGCATGCGACCGAACTCCTTCAGATCATCTAAACTATAAATACCAGCTGGCAGCGATGACTCCTTGCCCTCCAAAGAAAAACCCTCAAAATATTGGCATATCGGTGTTTCACCATCATGTTCATGTCTCTCCCGAACATAGCTAGCCGTTAGACCATAACATTTGCCATCCACGGATTTTCCTTCCCTTTCTTTGCTAACCTCCGGATGTATACACATATTTTTACGTGAACTGAGAACTAAACCCAGCAAGGCTGGTGGATCCGGTGAATTTTTCTCATAGTAAACCATTAAATTTTGCAGCTCCGCTATGACCTTTTCAATTTCCGGTACTGTACGTGAACAATATATGAGCTTTCGTATTGTCTCGGGCCGTTCAATCATATAGGCAACAATTAGGGAGAGCAAAGTGGCTGTCTTCCCAGTTCCTGAAGGCATTTCCAATAGGCAGTGGCCCTTGGCATCCAAGGTCCGTTTAAGTTCCAACATATAGGCATATTGTTCGGGATAAATATATTCGTAGGGGAAATATACCAACAGGCCATCGACACTGATTCTGAGTGGGAGGAAGGGATTCGTTAGTGGGTTAAATTTTATATTTTAATATGGAAACTACTTACTTCATTTTTGCTACTCCTGAAGCTGGTGTTTCACCGGCATTCAATGTTGTTTACTATTGCTGCCTGTCACAATGTGTTAGGGATTTATAGATCGATAGTGGAATATCGATTAGTATGGTTGTCAAGTTAAAATCGGATAAAATGATTTTGATTAAATTGAATTAATAATTATTAAAGCATAATTAATAAATAAATTAGTAGTAAATTAATATTTTAAATTTTTAAATTAATTTTTAAAAATAATTAAGGATTAATGCTTGCTAATGCTCGCCTTGGGTGAGTAGTCCCAAAAATTATTTTTAAAAAATCCACTTCTTGGGTGAGTAGGACCCAAATATTATTTTTAAAAAATCAACGTCTTTGGGTGAGTAGGACCCAAAAATTATTTTTAAAAAATCCACGTCTTGGGTGAGTAGGACCCAAAAATTATTTTTAAAAAATCCACGTCTTGGGTGAGTAGGACCCAAAAATTATTTTTAAAAAATCCACGTCTTGGGTGAGTAGGACCCAAAAATTATTTTTAAAAAATCCACGTCTTGGGTGAGTAGGACCCAAAAATTATTTTTAAAAAATCCACGTCTTGGGTGAGTAGGACCCAAAAATTATTTTTAAAAAATCCACGTCTTGGGTGAGTAGGACCCAAAAATTATTTTTAAAAAATCCACGTCTTGGGTGAGTAGGACCCAAAAATTATTTTTAAAAAATCCACGTCTTGGGTGAGTAGGACCCAAAAATTATTTTTAAAAAATCCACGTCTTGGGTGAGTAGGACCCAAAAATTATTTTTAATAAATCCACGTCTTGGGTGAGTAGGACCCAAAAATTATTTTTAAAAAAATCCGTGCCTTAGTTTAAATGTTCCAAAACAATATTAAAAAACAAGTCATCGAAGTCCGGTTGAATGTATTTTATCAATAGAATACCGTTCAAAGGTCTTCAAACTTTTTTTTTTAATTTTTGTTGTTACAGGAATTGGGTTTGTCATCCCCAATTTAACCTCAAGGGGTTATTTTTTTTAATTATATATTATTTCTATTTCACTACAACCAGAAGAACCGGAAATTATCTTCGATTGCACAGCAGCTTTGTTTTGAACTCGAACACCACTATATACACACACGCACACAAATATATTTTTTTTTAAATTTTTTCTAAAAAAAACTTTATTGCATAAAAAAATTAAATTAATTCTCACAATTGTTTTATAACTTAAATTACTTTTTTATTGGGGTAGACCTTCACGTTTTGACCATTCCAACCATGAACCTTTATAGTTCTTAATGTTGGTATAACCCAATGCCACAGCAGTTTCGGCAGCCTCTTGTGATCTTCTACCCGAACGACAATAGAAAACAATTGGACTATCCAACGAAGGTTTCTCACGCACAAACTTCTGTTTAAATTCTTCGGCGGATGTCTCGGGACCCAACACCTGCTTCACAGTGCCCAATGGTATATTAATACTGGTAGGTATCTGACCAGTTGCCTGTAATTCATGAGGTTCACGAACATCTATCAGCAGGATTTCCGGATGATCGTTGGGTAGATTTTTAACAAATTCATAGCTGACAATTTCAATTTTTCCACTCATTTTTTCCGTCGATGATGTTATGCCCATTGCTGAGGTGCCGTCAATGGCGACTTCTTGACCAAAAACAAATGTCGTTGACGTTGAAGATAAGACAATGATCGTGGTTACGATAAAAACTAGCAGTGTTTGACACTGATTTTGAGAAAGTAAACTAACATAGAAAAAAGAAAATGAAAAACGAAAACAAAATACAGAGCACATCGAAGATAGTTGTGGAAATTTCCTACCTCATAGTTATCGCTCTCTTGGAAGGTGCCTCTCTGGATGGAAGGTGTCTTAACTGTACAAGAAGCTTGATTAAACTAAAGTTTCTATTGAAGTACATACAAGTTTCAAGCCGACATTGAAAACAAAAACATTGGATTACGACATTGCCTTCTGAAGTACAGACGAAGATGGATAGAGAGGTACGAGGGCTGAGATTTTGAAATCAGGTTTGCTGTTTGTATTTTGATATGCCAAAAAAAGCTTCCTACCAAAATTAACAAAACAAACAGATGGAGATATTTCAAAATATGTGAAGCGTAAATGATGATTTGTCAATTAATTTGTTTTATTCCAATTATTTATAGCATACCTTAAGGCGCAATAAGGAAATGAATTTAATTAACAATAAAGTATTTATTCCTTGGTTTAATAGGTCCCAAAAATGATTTTTAAAAAATCCACGCCTTGGTTTAATAGGTCCCAAAAATGATTTTTAAAAAATCCACGCCTTGGTTTAATAGGTCCCAAAAATGATTTTTAAAAAATCCACGCCTTGGTTTAATAGGTCCCAAAAATGATTTTTAAAAAATCCACGCCTTGGTTTAATAGGTCCCAAAAATGATTTTTAAAAAATCCACGCCTTGGTTTAATAGGTCCCAAAAATGATTTTTAAAAAATCCACGCCTTGGGTGAATAGGTCCCAAAAATGATTTTTAAAAAATCCACGCCTTGGTTTAATAGGTCCCAAAAATGATTTTTAAAAAATCCACGCCTTGGTTTAATAGGTCCCAAAAATGATTTTTAAAAAATCCACGCCTTGGTTTAATAGGTCCCAAAAATGATTTTTAAAAAATCCACGCCTTGGTTTAATAGGTCCCAAAAATGATTTTTAAAAAATCCACGCCTTGGTTTAATAGGTCCCAAAAATGATTTTTAAAAAATTTAATAGGTCCCAAAAATGATTTTTAAAAAATCCACGCCTTGGTTTAATAGGTCCCAAAAATGATTTTTAAAAAATCCACGCCTTGGTTTAATAGGTCCCAAAAATGATTTTTAAAAAATCCACGCCTTGGTTTAATAGGTCCCAAAAATGATTTTTAAAAAATCCACGCCTTGGTTTAATAGGTCCCAAAAATGATTTTTAAAAAATCCACGCCTTGGTTTAATAGGTCCCAAAAATGATTTTTAAAAAATCCACGCCTTGGTTTAATAGGTCCCAAAAATGATTTTTAAAAAATCCACGCCTTGGTTTAATAGGTCCCAAAAATGATTTTTAAAAAATCCACGCCTTGGTTTAATAGGTCCCAAAAATGATTTTTAAAAAATCCACGCCTTGGTTTAATAGGTCCCAAAAATGATTTTTAAAAAATCCACGCCTTGGTTTAATAGGTCCCAAAAATGATTTTTAAAAAATCCACGCCTTGGTTTAATAGGTCCCAAAAATGATTTTTAAAAAATCCACGCCTTGGTTTAATAGGTCCCAAAAATGATTTTTAAAAAATCCACGCCTTGGTTTAATAGATCCCAAAAATGATTTTTAAAAAATCCACGCCTTGGTTTAATAGGTCCCAAAAATGATTTTTAAAAAATCCACGCCTTGGTTTAATAGGTCCCAAAAATGATTTTTAAAAAATCCACGCCTTGGTTTAATAGGTCCCAAAAATGATTTTTAAAAAATCCACGCCTTGGTTTAATAGGTCCCAAAAATGATTTTTAAAAAATCCACGCCTTGGTTTAATAGGTCCCAAAAATGATTTTTAAAAAATCCACGCCTTGGTTTAGTAGGTCCTAAAAATGATTTTTAAAAAATCCACGCCTTGGTTTAATAAGTCCCAAAAATGATTTTTAAAAAATCCACGACTTGGTTTAATAAGTCACAAAAATGATTTTTAAAAAATCCACGACGTGGTTTAATAAGTCCCAAAAATGATTTTTAAAAAATCCACGCCTTGGGTGAATAGGTCCCAAAAATGATTTTTAAAAAATCCACGCCTTGGGTGAATAGGTCCCAAAAATGATTTTTAAAAAATCCACGCCTTGGTTTAATAGGTCCCAAAAATGATTTTTAAAAAATCCACGCCTTGGTTTAATAGGTCCCAAAAATGATTTTTAAAAAATCCACGCCTTGGTTTAATAGGTCCCAAAAATGATTTTTAAAAAATCCACGCCTTGGTTTAATAGGTCCCAAAAATGATTTTTAAAAAATCCACGCCTTGGTTTAATAGGTCCAAAAAATGATTTTTAAAAAATCCACGCCTTGGTTTAATAGGTCCCAAAAATGATTTTTAAAAAATCCACGCCTTGGTTTAGTAGGTCCTAAAAATGATTTTTAAAAAATCCACGCCTTGGTTTAATAAGTCCCAAAAATGATTTTTAAAAAATCCACGACTTGGTTTAATAAGTCACAAAAATGATTTTTAAAAAATCCACGACGTGGTTTAATAAGTCCCAAAAATGATTTTTAAAAAATCCACGCCTTGGGTGAATAGGTCCCAAAAATGATTTTTAAAATATCCACGCCTTGGGTGAGTAGGTTCCAAAAATTAATTTTAAACAATCCACGCCTTGGGTGAGTAGGTTCCAAAAATTAGTTTTAAACAATCCACGCCTTGGTTTAATAGGTCCCAAAAATGATTTTTAAAAAAACCACGCCTTGGTTTAATAGGTCCCAAAAATGATTTTTAAAAAATTCACGCCATGCTTTAATAGGTCACAAAAATGATTTTTAAAAGAATCCACGCCTTGGGTGAGTAGGTCCCAAAAATTATTTTTAAAAAATCCACGCCTTATGTTAGGAGATCCAAAAAATTAATAAAAAAAATCCACGCCTTGTGTTAGGAGATCCAAAAAATTATTTTTAGAAAATCTTGGGTTAGGAGATCCAAAAAATTATTTTAAAGAAATCCATAGGGGAGAGGGGGGCACCTTTGAACACTTTTTGCTTTCAAACCTTATCAAATTTTTTATTTTATCATTTTTGGTTTCTTATAAATTTTAACTAATAGGTACATATGTAACCTTTAAAATGAATATAAATATGACATACTATAAGCTTGATAAATATATTTTATTACTGTTTTAATGGACGAACTCAAAGTGTTCAAAACTACCCCCCAGGGGGGCACCTTTGAACAGGGGTTGGCATTTTTGAACGACATGGTTTTTTAAAGTGTTTATGTTCAAATATGTATGTATTTTATTCATACGAATCAGAAATGCATTAATTCATTAAAAAATATATAAAAAATGTTCAAAGTTTAAAAAATTTAGATCAAAAGTTATTAAAACATAAAATGACTTAAAAATACAAATTAATATGGTGAAAAATACAGTTAATTTCGTAATCTTATTAGCCCATTTGAAATTTTGAGAAATCGAAGCCAAAAGTTAAAAACTCCTTTTTTTACTCGAGTTTAATGGGCATGTTCAAAGGTGCCCCACCCATGGCATTTTTCGGAAATTTAAAATAACTTTTTTTTTGTAATAAATATATCATGGTACAATTATAAAAGGTAACAGCAAATCCCAGCTGATTTGATTCCAACGTAATACTAGTGTCAATATGAATTTGACAAATTATGTTTTTAAAAAATCACCCAACAGGAAAATTGGGAACGCATACAATTTGAAATTGTTCTTTATTAATGTGCTCCCGTATTCAAATTACTCAATCTGCCTGCTGGGAATGTTTGAGGAAGCAAATATTTCTTGAAGGAATAACTCGCTATTCCCAGCATTGTCATATGTGTTACACATATATATGGCAATGGCTCAATTAAAGGAAAGATGTGGAAGCGATAGAAATATAAATTTGATAGATTTTCATTCATGTTTTTCAATTTTTATTTTGAGGATTCGAAAATATTCCATTTTCAAAATAAAAATAATTTGATGATAATTTGTTTGTTTGTTTACATTTTTCTGTCAAATGAGTTGACACTAGTAGAAATTACAACAACAAATTTCCATGTGGTTGTTGTATCGTTTTTTGTACAACAACACTTGCTGTTACCTTTTATTATTATACCATGTAAATATATATGAAAGAAATTACATTAGTTATGTTTGAAATGATTGTTGGAATGCAAAAAATTTGTTTGACGAAAGAAAACTATCACAGAATTCTTCCTGCGCCCTTACAACCAAATGAATAAAAGTTTACAATGACACTGAGAAAACATGGTCACCCATGCACAATTTTTCGACAACTGAAAAAGCAAGCCAAAGTGGTTTAGGCATATAGAGAGCAAGATTGCCATATACAAAAATGTGGTTGCGGGTCGGAAAAATATTAAACCAAGATTTTATGAGCGCTATTCAAAGGTGCCCCACGTTCAAAGGTGCCCCCCTCTCCCCTATATTTTTTATTGTAATTTGAAAATTTATTTCTGATGAGTGTACCGAAATCAACATATTATATGGACTCCCCATGGATAGAGATGGTATTTACCGGGTAAATACCCAAGGGGTGGGTAAATACCGGGTAAATACCCATTTGCGGGTATTTATTTGGGTATTTACTATATTGACTCGGTAATACAACATCTTACACCCTATTTCCGGATTTCTGTTATCAAATCGATTTAGAATGGATAGTTTTACGATACTTTAAAGACGTGGGTAAATACTTGGGTAAATACCCGAGTTTTTACCCAAAAATTGGGTATAAACTCATTAACTGCCGAACCACTTGACATAGGCGGCCACAATTTTGCACACATGTTTCTAATGACAAAGCAAATATAGAAATCCAACATGGGGACCCTGGGTCCAAGTTTTGATGTAGCCCCCATATAACCATATCTCCCGATTTAAGGTATTTTTTATTTATTAGACACATTTTACAACCAAATTGGCTGTAATTTGGCACAGAGTGCTCTTTTTGGGTACCAAATGTCCATGCAAAATTTTATGTATGTAGGTCCACGTTTACTGGTAGCCCCCATACAAAGGTACCCCTATTTTGAGTATTTACCCAAAAATTGGCTATAAACTCATTAACTGCCGAACCACTTGACATAGGCG